ATGGGGGTAATGGGAAATGCGCACTGCCTAGGGCATCACACCCCCTTCTTTTTGCTCCCTGCACCCTCATCCCTATCCCACCCCCAAATGTGGTGACTGTGGGGACTTACCACACTCAGATCCTGAACTCCAAACACTCCGGAAGGAGCTCGAGGTCAAGGAAACCCCAGGGTCCGGTGGAAAGGGGGGGGGGTCTGAGGGCCAAGCTGGTCATGCTTCCCTTAAAAACTTCGAGGTGTTTGCCAAGACTCTCACACCCCCCCGCAGCCTCGTCTGTGATATGGGGAGTGGCTGGCTGGTCTGCGGGCTGCTGGCCCAGCAGCAGGCAATTTGCTCAGGCTCCGTATGCGCTCCTTCCCTCTCCCCTCAAACCACAACCTGCCGTCTGCAGCCTCAGTGGCTTTCTTGTCTGTTTGCAACAAAGAGGTGCATTTTACACTATTGCTCTCTCTTTCGAAAACTATAAACAGAATAAAACAGTGCAAGCCTAATGTTTCCATGACCCCGTGACCCTTGGCCTGGATGCCGAGGAGACTGCGGCAGGGGAAACTGTAGCAAACTGCCAGGCCCACGGCCTGCGGGAAGGACCTCTGTCTGTTACCAAACCATTGTTCCATGCAAAAGCAGGCCTCCGTTTAACAAAAGCTAGAAAGTTACTATGATTGTGGGTTGTAGAAAGATCCTCTGACATCTTATGGGTTGACTTCATTTCTTTGATGATTCCAAGTTCCCAAAGGAGGCAGGTGTGTGGTCTGAAGTAAGCCCAGAGTGCACCAGTGAGCCAGGCAGACAAGGGACATCCGGGTCCTACAGAATCTCCTGCGAGCGCTCTGCCCGAAACACTCAGCACCACGACCAGAGCTGTCTTTACACTTAGAGAACAAATAACACTTTCAAAGCACCACCCACGGGCTCCATTGGGTTTCCCAACAGTGATAGATGTAGGATTCTTTTTTATTTTTATTTTTTGTCCCAATCTACAAATGGAAAAACTCAAGTGTTGGCCCAAAGTCATGTAACCAGTTACTAACTCTAACTTGCAGACTTTATAAACCTCGTATTACTAAAGACTTGGCCAGGCTCTTACACTGAATAATGCATTTCAACCTTTGAAATTATTTTGTAGGTGCCCAGGCCAGGCGTCCTGTGGGTTACAGTGTCTTCCCCATATGACAAGGTTGCAGGTTCGATCCCTGGTCAGGGCACATACAAGAGTCATCCAATGAATGCCTAACTCTATACACACAAATACGTCCGGGGTGTGAGCACGTCTAGCACATTGCTTTGCTGGAGCCGGTTCATTTCCCTCGAGTTGCACCACATTCTGTAATTTTCCAGGTTCCACTCCGAACATGTGGATCATCTCTGCCTCGCTGGACGGGAGCCCGACATTGTGCTTATTTGTTCACATTCCGTCTGGGCTGTTGCCACCGAGTGTGCACACATGGGATCTTCTCTTCTGTAAAGAGAAGAGTAGCTACCCCTGAGGGTTGGCCACTAGGAGACTGTTAATGCCACTCTCAGAGCGAAATGTTCTGTCTGAATGGGAAACAGTGAAAGCCAAATACCGTGCATTCATAACTCACACGTGCAAAGCACATTTGTTCCACCTAATTGCTCCTTCAAAAGTCCCTTGCGAGGCCCTCCCCACAGAGGGGTTCAATGAGGTGGCGTGACTGGTCCAGTCTTCTCGCACGTGCACGAGGGAGCCAGACGCAGTCGTAAGTGTGCTGGCCACCCCCACCTCCAAACTCCAGGCCCTTCCTGCTTTATTCCTTTATGTAGCCCTTTCAGTTTTTTAAAGAAGGCTACATAAAACACACAGAATAAGACTTGAGGTAGTCTTTCTTTTCCTAGATCGAGGGCTAAGAAGTGCCCCTATGACAAGTCAACAGTTTGGGAGCTACTGTGTCATCTGCACAGGTGGCTAAGAAGGGCTAAGAAGTGCCCCTATGACAAGTCAACAGTTTGGGAGCTACTGTGTCATCTGCACAGGTGGCTAAGAAGGGCTAAGAAGTGCCCCTATGACAAGTCAACAGTTTGGGAGCTACTGTGTCATCTGCACAGGTGGCTAAGAAGGGCTAAGAAGTGCCCCTATGACAAGTCAACAGTATGGGAGCTACTGTGTCATCTGCACAGGTGGCTAAGAAGGGCTAAGAAGTGCCCCTATGACAAGTCAACAGTATGGGAGCTACTGTGTCATCTGCACAGGTGACTAAGCAATGACAAGGGTCAGGACCACCGCGTTCCTGTGTGGAAGCATCTGGACATTCCTAGAGGGTCCAAGCACTCTTATCTCAAAGCCCAGTCTGGTCAAGTTCACTTGGTGGCATAAATGCTTCTCTGAGAAGAAGCCAGTTTGGAAAAGGCGTTGACTACCCGCCCCCTCCTGTGTTGTCACTTCCTGGGGAACCCAGTGTTCACCCAGGTGACGTGTCCAGAGCAGGGGCTCTCACACTGTGTGTGCATCCCATCGCCAGGGGCCTGTGACAGCGCTTTGCTTGCCACCGGGGCGGGGCCTGAAGAGCTTGCTCCTTCGACAAGGTCCCAGGGAGTGCAGATGCTGCTGCTCCAGCGCCAGAGGTGTGGGGGGGCCTCTGGGCCACCAAGAGCAGCCACATGTGATCCCTCACGATGGCTGTCCCACTGTCCCCTGATGAGGCAGATGGGCAGCTCTCCCCCACCATGCGCAGCAGTCACACAAACAGGAGTGGGGATGTTTTGCTCACCATCGCAACAATGGGGAAATAATGAAGCCAATGAATTTGGCCTCAACTCTTCCAAAAGTACTGGAGGAGGTGGGCTCTTGGGGACTCCGTACAGTGGGGACACTCCTTGGGGAACACCTGAGTTGTTTCTCTGATGTCCCCCATGAGTGCTGAGATCGAAGAAGACACAGTTAGGTGTTTGTAAACATTTCCTTACAAGTAAATTGGACGGTGGTTAAAGTTCTCAGGTGATAAACACGAGAGAGAGAGTGTGTGTGTATGTTCTATTATCCAAACCTAGACTCAACAGCTAAAGGTGACATTTTTATTGCCTGTAAAGGGACTGTCGCAGGCAAACAAGGGTCTAGGTGTAGGACCAGCCTGCTAATAAATACCCCAGAGGGAAGTGAGGAGAAAGGTGTCTACACCTGCTCTTACGCAGCCTCCTTGCGCCAAGTTCACCTTCATTTTGTGAGTTGAGGACTTTCCGCAGGTGTTTGGGGGCGGGTTCGATTCCTCCTAATTTTCAACAGGAAGTGGCAAGGTGTTTTCCCAGAAGGCCAGGAACTGACGTTGTTCACTCAGGTATTCTAATCACTTCCAGTCTCACATAGCTTTGACTCTAGTACGAGCCCACTGGCGTGGCAGTCCTGGCGTGTTTCAACGCGTGCTCTCCTCAATGTGGGCAGGGAAGGCCATGAGCCAGGCATCAAAGACTGACTCAGGTGAGTGTCGCACGGTCCAGTGTCACCCAGGAGTCCTCCCCAGAGACTGGCTTCACTGACAGAAGCATGGTCAAGGTCAACCTGCCCCCAATACTGTGTTGCCTTTGGCCCCTGGGAGGAGCACCTGGACCCTTTCATTAACCTCCTTGTCCTGGGTCAGAAGATGGAATGGGCAGCTGACAAGATGGGAATGGCCCAGAGAACCAGTTCACATGGCCCACAGCTTGTTGCAAAGTATGAAAAATTGGGGGTTTTCATATAATAGATACAAATTTCAGACAGAAATTCACTTAAAAAAATACAGGACCCAGCACCACCACCAGGACCACACGGTAAGGGACAGGAGGCCAGGCAGAGGGGCAGCAGGGCGCAGTCACGGGGGAGGTAGGTGGAGACGAGACCGAAGGAGCAGGGCCAGGCTCTGGGGGGGGCCCGGCCGTGGTCTGGACACCACCGGCGTGGGGACCACAGTCAGGAAGATGCCTCTGTGTTTGTCACAGGGGAACATCAGAGTGGTCTAAACCCCCGGGTACGAGACAGACTGCAGAGTGTTAAAAAAGGAAAGACTGAAATCAGCGAGCCATCAGGAGGTTAGGCTTTGGCTCTGGTGGGTGTGGCTCAGTTGGTTGGAGCGTCAAACTGTAAACTGAGAGGTCACGGCTGCCACTCCAGGTCAGGGCACGTGCCTACATTGTGGGTTACCTCCCAGTCAGGGTGCAAATAGGAGGCAATCGATCAATGTTTCTCTCTGAAATCAATCAATAAATACATTTTTTAAAAAGAGAGTGGAGGCTTCAAAATCCATTCTACTTAGAGATAGTGGTTGCAAAATTATAAGTTTGCTGCAATAAGCGAAGGTCATGTTCAGGGGCGGCAAAAGTTGCTGAAGTGAAAGAAAGAACGAACGCACCAAAGCGCGAGGGCACAGTCTGGGCAATGGCGGCTCCCAGAGAAAATCGGAAGTTCAGGTACAAAGCTCAGGCAGAGAGGCCTGCAGAGAATGGATGGGGCGCCTTGGGTGTCAGGTTCCTCTGCACACAGAGGCCACGCGGGGAACCACCGGGCAGGCAGGGAGCACCCCGTGCAGCGGGCACACGCTTGAGCGAGGCTGCAACTGCGGGCTTTTTAAGGATCTGCAGATAACAGTGCTTTCATACTTGCCTTATTTATCAAAAAGTAAACTATTATTTTTGAGCAGTTATTATGTATTAGTAGGAAAAATCAAACACTTCGGTACATACTCCCATAAACTGAATACACAGAAATATGACAGAAGCACCAAGTGGAAAGGAAGTTTCACGGACACACAAAGAACCCGTCTGTGACACGAGCTTTCGCGACGGAGAGCGAGAGCTGAGATGCACATTAGCTGCCTCTGCAGATGCCCGGCCCATCTCAAGAGCGCCGGGTCAATAGTAAAATTAGACCCTGCACATGCTTACGTAGAGGTATGTGAGGTTACTTCTTATAAGCATTGTACTAAAGTTCTGTGTAAAGTCAAAGCAGAACAACTGTTTAGATAATGAATGATGTAGGAAACTTAATTACAAATGCCAGGCATCAGGAATATATTCACTTTCTTGGTTTATTAAAATAAAACTACAATTCTGTGCTCTTTACAATACATGAACAGGCATAAAAATCGATCAAGGTTTCCAAATAAGTGCTGCTCACAAAATTACGCCATGTTATTTCAGGCAAAAGCAAGTTTTCACACAGTTTGAATGTTTCTCTGTGCAACAGGCAAATAGTTTAACACCTTCCATCAAGGCATTTCTGGGATTTACAGGTTTAGAAATAAAGTCAAAATGCAGTCATTAGTTTGTATTAAACTCAAATGCCAGCTGCCAAGTCTCGAGTTCCTAAAAAGAGTGTTTTAAAAAACAGATGTACATTCCAAATGAAGTCTTATAAACTTCAGTAATAGGTCATCGCTGCTGAACACTAGAACCATCTGTCGATAAAAATCTATTGTACATTCAATTGTGCAATATTTTTTTCTAAGTCGGAATAAAAATCTTAATCACTTGCCCCAGTTAATCTCTGTGTTAATTTTGCTACTTTTAGTGAAAGAACCGGGATGGCCGGTGGCCGCCCTTCCAGTCAAAGGAGAGGCTCGAACCCCCGTCCTGCAGTTCTTGGGTGCTCGCTGTCCCCAGGGGGCAGGAAACGCACAGCCGTCCAATGTAACACGTGTGCAAAACTCACGCGGATCCGGCCTTAGTGCCACCTTCACACCTACCCGAGGGAACCTAGTGAGGGGTTCACGGAAAAGGCCCTGGGTGGCACTTTGGAAACGCTGGGCTGCACAGGCGCAGTCCTCGCGGACCGGAGCCCCGCTGCGCCGCACTGCGCGGGTCTCGGGAAGAGGATCCAAGTCCACATTTGCGGTACCAGTGACACTTTCTTCCACAGAACAGCTGTGGACCTCACACAGCGCACTCGAACCGCAGGGAACCACGGGCATTGCTTCCCCCCCCACCCCCCCACCCGCAGCCCCCCTGACTGGCCCTCGGAGGGGGATGGGGAATCCCACCTCCCAGCTGACATTCACTGTGATTCCCCAGGCAGTTTATCCTTCACCTTCAGGGCTTCCAGAGACTTCCTGTTCTGAGAAGGCTGGCTCACGGTTACTTCTTTTCCTGGCTGGATGATTCCACACTAGCTCCTCCCCTGTGTTTCCCTTCAAATTTAAGAGAGCAAAAAAATTCCTTCCCCTCTTCCGAGTTACTTGGGACATTCTCATTTGGAAGGAGTGCAGTTTCCCACTGTTTATTATTGGGTTTTTTGTTTGTTTGTTTGTTTAACTTGACTCAGTCTTTCCCTAGAAGGCATGCATTTCGGTTTTAGAGAAATGCAATAGAGTAAACTGTAATACATTATTTACAAGCACCTAATTTGTTTATTTAATCTTACACGAAAGCCATTCGCTTTTGGGAAACAATGAAAATAAACCTCTGAAGCAAAACTGCTACCTGGAAGCCTTACTGCGATGCCGTGCATGTTCTCGGTGACGAGGCACTGAGGATGAGTTGTGGGAACATTCACTCAGGGCCAGCTTGTCTGGGTGAGCGTACCTTTGGTTGGGATTTTTCTTCCTTAAAAAAGGTTTTCAAAGCACCAGTTAATTACAAAAGAGCATGCATATTTAGTCTCACAGTGAGTTGAGTGGCGAGAGAGCTGGGGGATCACAGTTCACATTCTTCAAAGCATCTGATTAGGGTTCTAGAAAACAAACCAACCGTGAGGGGAGATGCAGCCCAAGAAGCCGCTGCCCCCTGCTCAGCCTGGCCAGGCAGCGGCCTTCAGAAGTCGCAAGCAGGGCAGCAGCGTCCACAAGGGAGTCAGTCCCAACCCGGACGTCCCAGAGGGCCGAGAGCTAGTCCAAGGACTCCTGGATCTTTCGTTCCAGGGATGAATAAAAGAGACTAGTGAGACGTTTGCTGGCCTAGATAATACACGGGACAGGTAAGCCCCCCTGTGCATCCCCAAATCCAGCACCCCCAATTAGTGAAATGAATGCTACAAGGTGGAGACCCCACGCCACACCAGAGCCATGACAACAACAACCGTGGCTTCATGGTGCACGTGTCCCCCTCAGGAAGGAACATACCCCCAGTGGGGGGTCCCCGAGGGGTGGGAGGCCACCAAGGGCTTGTTATTGCTACGAGTTTCCAAGGAGATTATTTTAGACAAAGTGAAGAATCAGTGTCCTGCGCTCTCCCCACATATACAGAATATTCATGAAATACGATTAGTGTTTAAAATACAAGCTTATGAAAGTACAAACTTAATTCTCAGTCCTTTTATATTAAATTCAAAGACCAGAAGCAATATTCATTAGAAAAAGTTCCTTGTTCCATAATACCATGGAGAGAAGGAACAGTGAGCTGCTGGAAAACGTTTTGCTGCCACATGATCTTTAAGAAAAGCACAATTACCACACTTAGCTAACACTTACGCTCCCCACTCACAAAAAGGCACCTGCCTGCTATGAACAGACAGGCTTTCACAACGATCCACCACCATGTGGCATCGGAGTTGACGCATATGATCCCCCTACATTTTTAAAGGGCCGTGACTTTTCCTCAAAGCTGAAGATCCGTAAATGCCTCTGATGACTCCCCAGTCAGCAGGGCCGCCAGTGCCGCCCACGTGGCACCCTGCACACCTCGCGTGGGCGCCAGTCCCACTTCCTGCCCGCAGCCTATCAGGCCGAGCTGGCGGAGTCAGGACAGCCGTCACCTGGCTGGAGGATCTCCAAGGAACAGCTGTACCTGTGAGAGGCAGGCACCGCCAGAGGGGTGGGAGAGGAAATAGACATGAAACAGCAGTCATTCCTAAATACTTGCTGGTCAGTGAAGAAAACCCAATGGTACTTTTTCATATGAGCAAAATTTTTCCACGTCAGTTTTCTGGCCAAGCGCACCTTGAATCTTGCCAGCCAAACGTACTTCCTGGTGTTGGGTGTCCATCACGTCACCTCCGTCCCTGACCTAATCAAACACTGGGTTTTCATGTAGTTTATAAAACACTTTCTGAACCCGGCTGCCAGGGCAGCCCAGCGCGACACCTGGGTGTGGAGCGGGCCGGCCCGATCCTTCGTGAAGCTCACTGGGATGGAGGGTGTTCCCCTGTGACACGTACCTTCTGTGGACAGAGATAAAACTGGGGAGGGGAAATGGTAAATGGATGACTTGATTATTTCTAAAGGGAGCTTAGCGGTTAGTGAGAGAACACACCAGTGAATTCCCTACCAGCATCCAGTCCACCACACTAGAGTCCGTGCAGAATACAACTGCGTCTTTTTGTCCTTCACAGGAATTAGTCCTTAGCAGTTACACTTAAAACATAAGCGTTTCATAAACTCCAAAATCATTTCTGAGATTTCATTTTGCAACCTACTGATTAGGAATCGCAAGCGAAGGCTGAGGGCCGGGCAGCACCGCCCGCAGGCTGCCGTGCCGTCTCGGGCCCGGGGGGCTCGCAGATCCCTGGAGGGAGAAGGCACTTGTCTTCCAGGAGGTCACGTCGCAACAGGGCAGCCCGGCCACACGGCGGTACCTTCCACTTTCCAGCAGGGCCAAGCCCACGCCAGGTCATCCGCGCCTTTCGCCTGCCAGAGGTGCTGACCTTCCTTACAGCACCACAAAACTCAGCAGATATTCGAGGAGTTTTTGCCGGTTGCACTGAGGTAGAAAAGTGCTGCTGAGTTCTAAAATACACACTCGCTTTTGTTTGGTTTCTTTGAAAACCTAGAGAGAAAGTTGAGACTAAATTAAACATGCACCAAAAAAGGGGACATTTCTGTCACCAACTCTGACCTGTGTCCTGGGCCTCCCCGAAGCAGGGAGATGCATAAACCCATATCCTGGCTTTGAGAGCACGCAGTGTATGTGTCTGGGAGTGTCCGGTGGGCAGTCCTGGGTGCGGGTGGTCCTGTTTTCAGTGGGCTGCAGCCGGTACACATGCTCCACAATTCATGATAGAATTAAGTCACACACAGCCCCTGACAAAGGCCACTGCGGCTCCACAGAGCACACGTCCCGAGTGGAAGTCAAGGATAGCTGTGATACTTCTCAAAATATTGATAAACACAACGAAATAACTGAGAGTCATGCAGCAGAGTTAACATCCCTGCCAGGCTGTAGGAGCATCTCCAAACACACTGACACATTACACACAAACAGTTTTGGGATGAAGGCGAAAACCAGCAAAATTCTGGAAATGCCAAAGAAATCTGTCCTGCAGGGCCTCACCTTCAACATGCCCCCACCCATTCCCAGGAATGCCTTCATGATGAGTCCAGCAGAAACCGCTTCTCTGAGGGTCCCCCCACCCAGCACACAGGGGGCTCAGACAGACCTGATCTAACTAGAAGAGAACAGAAGCTAGCACAAGCTTTCACACTGTGAGTGGTGGGCACTCACCCCAAGATCCTTGAACATTTTCAGAGCGTTCTTCACGAGACAGTACGTGGCACTCTCAGCTGTAGAGAAGAATGAGATCTGTCAGACGTGTAGGCCCAGCAAGCCCCTAGACCCACCCAAGAAAGTGGGGGGCTACAAGGAGGATGAGAGCAAGTCCGCAGGCTGAGGTCGGACTCTGGCTGCTGCTGGTGACCCGTGAAGTCTGAAATAATTTGCTGCTTCTTTAAACCTTCTGTGTCATCTTTTAAGAAAAAGAAGTAAGAGAGAGGAGAGAAGAATAAGAAGGAAAAGAAGGGAGGGAGGGAGAGGGAGGGAGGGAGGGGGGAGAGAGGGAGGGAGGGGGGAGGGAGGGAGGGAGGAGGGAGGGAGGGAGGGAGGGAAGGGAGGGAGGGAGGGGAAATGCCTAAAACATCCAGCTTGCAGGGGGTTTGTAAGAGGCAAATGGGACGTGTGGGAACCCTTTTAAACGGTGCAGATGGTTCCCTCAGCAGTGGAACCAGAAAGCACAGAGTCTAGAGGCCAGAGGGCTCTAAGTCCAGACGTGCCCATTCACCAGCTCTGTGACCTGAACAGTCTCCTTGTCTATAAAGCGAGGCGACACTATCGCTAGATGGAGGTCCAGACCAGATTTGTCTGGATCTTCAGACAGCAATCTCTCTAGATATGGCTCTAGATCAGGCCAACACGTCTCCAGATAGAGCTCTCTCTCTAGAGATCTCTGTCTAAAAATGATTCAAAGTGGTTTCAGTTCTAAGCCATAACTGTATAAAACGCTGCCCCCAGGCCAGTCGCATCTCTCATTCAGCAGACAGTACAGAGTGCTGGCCAGACGTGCAGCAGACTCTGCTGGGGAAAGTGCAGGCTGATAGCCACCCCACGTGCGAAGCACCACCAGGACCCAGCAGGCCCTGTGACCAGGCAATTCCACTCCTAGATAGGCAGCCAACGGAATGCGCACGTGTGTTCACCCAGAGACGTATTCAAACATGTGCAGGGCAGCGCTATTCATGGTAGCTCTGAACAAACAGCCCAAGTGCCCGTCCACATCACCGTGAATCAGTAATACATGGTATTTATACAATGGGCTACTACAACGCAACACGAATAAACAAACAACTACATGCAATAACGTCCATGAATCCCACAAAAGATGGGACTATGGAGTGAGAGGTCAGGATAATTTTGCAACTTCCCCCAAGTTCCTACAATGAGCAGATTCCAGTAATCAATCATTGATTTACAAGCAGCCAGACTAGCGGCATGCGTACCATAGACAGCGATGTGCCTCTCCGTCCTGGTGATGAGGTATTTGTGCAGCTTTTGCAGGTACTCTGGCTCAGGAACAGGGCCCCTGAAGTTGTGGATGAAGACGGCAGCAGAGCTGTAGGCCTCCAGCAGAGGGCCCAGGAGCCTCTGCAAGAAGGTGATGAACTGCTGGTGCTCCTTGGACTGGCTCACCTGGGCAAGAGCGGAGGTCAAGTCATGGAGCAGGGACCGAAGAAATGACTCGCTGACACAGGAACCTCTCGGGGTCCCAGTAACTTCAGAAGACGGCTCCCACTGTCACCACCCAGAAGCAGCTTGATGCTCTGTGGGCACAGAACCTCTGTCCCGAATGACTATCGGTTTTGAAAAGCATTCCTTTTCATAATCATTGACTTTTACAACCTTGAGGTTGGTATTCACTGAGCATCTGGCTAGAAGAAACCCTCATACTTGAATGACATAATTATGACGTATTGTCATCACTGAAAATAGCCAGTCCCAAGGTTAGACTCTACAGGCTGGCTCGACGGTCACTCAAGTGTACGGCAAGGTCCCATGACAAGGCCACAAGTTCAGCTCAGCCCTGCCTAGTCCCCACTTCCTGCCACCCTCAGCTGTCCTACAGCCCACAGTCCAGCGGAGGAAGGGAAGTGGTGGTGGTGACACGGAGGCTCTCACTGTCCCCCCAAAACAAGCACATCAGCTCCTCTGGTGTGTGCCAAGCAAGGTCACTACCCCGTCCCAGAACTAGTAAAGCCCAAATGGAAAAATCTTCTCAATGTCACTGGCATCTCCAGAAGCTGCACCCCCCCATCTCTGTGTAAACTAGGGGTGTTATCCCAATCCAGAGAAAGTAATCCACTTCAGGTGTTCAGAAAAGATCAGTCATCATTATTAATCTCTAAAGCTACAAATTAGACAAAACTGATTTCTCTAAATCAGGGACAATCAAACTTAAAAATCTGAATTTCCTCCTGTGATAGGATTTGTATTAATGAAGGCAAAGAACTAGATGCATAAAGTTTTAGAAGGAATGGCAAGACCAAGAAGGTTCAGAGAGCAGCCAGCCAGTGACAGCTGACTGCTGACTTCTGCTTGCTTTGGCGGTGACCGAACAAAAACACTGCCTCCTTAGGAGTGAGGGCAGGTGTATGTGCAGGTGTCTGTAGGTGTGCATACAGGTGTGCATACAGGTGTGTGCATACCATGCATACAGGTCTGCAACTGTCTGTTCTGGGGAGAGGGTCATGAAGGCATCAAACAGGACATTCACATTCCTAAATTTGCACTTGTTTCCTTTCCCATTTAATGATACTCGTAATGTATGAACTCAACTCAAACAGCTTGCGTGCCTTTACTCAGGAGGCAGAAAGAACCGCAGCTGCTTTGTGGGTACTTTAGCTGTGACTAAGTCACCAGAGTCCCTTGGAGCCTTATTAACTAGTGTTAGCCTCAGCCTTAACTCATCGGTGTAACGTCCACCCGAATGCTTCACCAAAGTACCTTTAGGTAGCAATCTCGCTGCTCCTCACCGAAATCACTGTCTTCGTCTTCTTCATCGCTTCTCCAAGACAAACGTTCAGGAAGCTTCTTGTCCCACTGCTGCTCAGCAAGACCGGGGCTGATATCTTCCTGATCGTCTTGCTGTGCCAACGAGATGACCGGCAGTAAACCGACATGCACGGACACACACGCCCCTGCCAACTGGGCCCCGGCCCAGCAGTTAGCTCTCATTCCCTCCCCTGCCCTCCTCTGTCTAGCCCGTGACAGCATCAATCCACTTCCTTTCCTAACACAGAGCCACTCAGGAAACGGCGAGGAGAGAAAGAGTTGGGGAAAGTTACCAGACACATCAAATAAGAATATTTACTCTTCCAGGTCATAACCACGCTGCTAAATTGACCACAATTAAAACAAAACCTCAAAAGAGAAAAATGCGTACTTGCGAGCTACAAGCACCCCGAGCAGTAAAACACCTCATCACACAGCAACTCCGGGGTGCCTGGGACTGAGTCCCGACACCTTTTACACAACAGCAGCCACACAAAAGGAACCGAAATATTAAACGGCCCCAAAGGACGTTTACTGCCCTTGTTCTGGTTTTTCTCTTCTGAACTTGACTATATATCAAAAGTAACTATTGGTTAATACAACTGGTTGTTACATTGGTTAAAATAATTGGTAAAAAAGACAAGGAAATGAAGAGCGAGAAACTAAACAAAGGCAGATAAAGAAAAGCTATTTCTCTTACCTCTGCCACTATAAGGATGCCGTACTGGATAAACCGGCCTACTGCTTCATGGCAAATTTGGTAAAATGTCTGGCAGGGCTGCAAAGAAAAGACATTTAAATGTCAATGCCAACGCACTGCGGCATTATTTACAATCGCCAAGATATGCAAGCAGCCCAAGTGTCCGTCAGTAGATGAGTGGATGAAACAACCGTGGGACATTTACACAGTGGAAACTACTCAGCCATAAAAGAAGAAAAATTTTACCTTTTGCAACAGCACAGATGGACCCGGAGAACATTGTGCTAAGTGAAATAAGCCAGGCAGAGAAAGACAGATACCGTATGATTTCACTCACACGTGGAATCTAATGAACACACTGAATTAACAAGGAAAATGGGGACAGACTCACAGATGGAGAGCAGATGACAACAAAGATTGGGGGAGGTGAGGAGGTAGAAGGACTGAGCAAAGAGGAAAATGGACCCACTGACATGCACAGCGGTGTGCAGATTGCTGGAGAGAGGGAGAGTAAGGGAACTAAACAGTGATGGGAAAAAATACAAAGATTAGATCAAAAGTATAAATAAAAATAACTGTCAGTGTCAAAGTCCTATACTCCTTTTGTTCAGAACAGAAAAACACTGTACCAGGTAGCTACCAAAACTTCCATGATTCGACCTACCTCACTCCACTGGGCACGTCCTAAGACTTTTGATACGCGCACCCCTGATAGTCATGCATGTTCATGGGAAAAGCCATGCAGAGACCTCGTTCACCTGCTCGGCAGAGCACCTGACACGGCGCCACCTGCGGAGGTGCTCCCGGCTCAGTCCCCCCCCCCCCCCCGCAGCAAAGCGAGGCCTCACGGGGCTGCTTGCCAGGCCCCCACCACCTACTTCTTTCCCTTTAGAAGACAATTTCTCCACAAACGTTCTCATGGAGTAAATGCTGTACATAAAGGTGGAAACACAATGGTAAAATAACTCAAAAAGACCCAGGAGAAGGATAAAGGCAACCTTGGGAGACTTACCTACCCTCCCTGCTCCACATCCCCCAAGGGCCACCAATATGCCACATGCAAAGGCCACCGTGGAGAAGGGCTGTACTCATCATGCTCATAAGTGCCCCACGACACATTCATATGAGTAGGTGGGAGAGAATACTAGACTTTAAATAAAATATCAATTCTATTTGTTGGTAACTTTGAGGAAAAAATCTCTCTCTGCTGCTTAATACGTATGCCTCATTATAAATGCCAACAAGTGCTGGAAAATAACATAAAATGCTCATCAGTACTGCTGGGCCTTAGTTTCCCTGTTTGTAAAGTGAAAAAGGATTGAGCACATCTGCTTTTTAAGGCTGTTTCTGTCTCTTATCTTCTGTGTTTCTATCACCCACAAGCAGACGCGTTAATTATTTACGAGCCTCTGACCCAGCGCCTTCTGTGTAATCAGAGCTCGGTAACCTTGGACCTGACTGAGGCAGAACGTGGCACAATCACGGGGGCACGAAGGGGTCACTGGAGCAGTGACCCCAACAGCACACCCCACACCCAGGTAGTAAACAGCACACTGCTTTGGAGGGCAGTGAAGCTGGCAGGAGAATGAATGTAAAGCCTTGGTAACAGGGCATAAATTCTCTAAGAGAAAACAAAGATGGCAATGTTTCACAAAAATGCTTAGGGAAAAGGGAACGAGCAACACTAAACACTGGTACTTACAAGAGAGATGGTGCCTTCGTTAGACAGCAGATAGCACAGGCTGGCCGCCTTCCGCACCAGCTGCTCCTGGCTGATCAAGCTGGAGGACCCGCCAGCAGGCCCGCCTGCACCCCGCTTGTTCTGCATGGCATAAAGGCTGCAGGCTGAGGAAACAAAAGCATCCGTGAAGCCAGCTGCCTTAGAGTGCCAAGAAAACCTTCAGCTGGCTCGGAGAACTTGGATAACCTGATGAGGTTGTTACATCAGAAATAATTACCTGCACCCTGCCTGGTGTGGCTCAATGGATTGAGCAACGGCCTGTGAACCAAAGGGTCACCGGTTTGATTCCCAGTCAGGGCACATGCCTGGGTTGTGGGCCAGGTTCCTCAGTAGGGAACACGTGAGAGTCAACCACACATTGATGTTTTTCTCCCTCTCTTTCTCCCTCCCTTCTCCTCTAAATAAATAACATCTTTAAAAAAGAAAAAGAATTATGTGCATTTCACTGGAGAAATTTAAGTAAACCCCCTTCAGAATTCATTTCTCATGAGTCCATGTGATCCCAACTCAATCAAGTGCCTTCCTGAGGGCCTTTGGTCCCCTCTGCTCTCCTTCTCCACTGTCCCCCTTGATCACACATGAGCCCCCACCACTCACATCACTGTCATGGGAATGTCTCCTCTCACCCAGTTTGTCAGCTCCTGGGTAGCAAGACACCTCGCCTCTCTCTGAGTCATCAATACAGTACTATGCACTAACTCAGGAACTATTTGTTGAATAGTAGATGTAAAAATGAGCTATAAATAGTAATACAGCAGATTATATTTTTATTGGAAAGCTAAAAATATAGCAATGCATTCCCTCACACAAGGGGCTCCCATCCAGAGGCAGACACCACTATGTGTTTTAGGCCCTTGTACTTTCTGCAAAAATGTCTCAGGGCCACTGTACCTATGATGGCCTCCAGGATAAAGACATGCAGCACCCCGTTGCTGTAGAAGTTAAGTTCAAAGACTGATGGGATAGTTGTGCTGGGAGTAATAAAAAACTCATCGTTCCGGCTGGTGTGGGTGATTGTGACGCAATTTCCCAGCAGCTGGATGGCATGTATAACCACGTCTTCTGAATTTCCCGAGAACCCCAGGTCAAAATCACGAGCCAAGACTTCCTCCTTCATGACAAAGAAGTCCTCCACCAACGTGGAGAGATCAATTCCCTGCAGAAACAGACAGAAATGGTCTCACGACAATGGAAAACCTACTTCCCAAAAGGCCAAGAGGCCATCCAAGGGCTTTTTTTCTTGCCTTGGCTTTTCTGCAGCTGCCTGTAGGCACACACAGAAAAAGGGCCAAAACACCAAAGCAGAGAAAAAACTGGTTAAAACGCGGGTCCCTCGGAATATCAAGAAACTGACACTCCACATCCAGTATTCCAACACCTGCCAAGGCGCTGCCCCCCTTGCTGGCTCGCACCGCTCAGCCCCGGCTGACACACCTGTCGGTGTCGGTACAGGAGCAGGCAGGCTACGATGTGCGTCGACATGATGGCGCAGGACTTGCTCGCGGCTGAAAGGCGAACACAAAGATTTAGCTACACTTGCATTTAAATATAACTGTAAATTGTCAGAGTACCTAAATCTTACATAGGAGTACTTAAAACTTACAAGTCTTCTATCACATTTCCCATAAAAGTGATTTATCAGAAGGAAGGTACAACATTATACCATGTTCTGGGCCATCAGAGATCATTATTCATCATCTAACAGCATTCGGTCTAAGGCAGGTCCACCTTCAAGGCAGGGCAATGGAATTTAGCTACTGAATGACCGAGACACAGCTTTACGGAAATGCCAAGACCCAAGTATAAGCCTGTCCTACAAGCTCTACAAGGATACCCTGTTGTTGTGGACCTGCTCCTGGCTGCAGGCTACTGTACTGTAACTCTACACCCCTCCCACAGGTGTTCACAAAGGTGCAGGGGAGGGGGGATTCGAAGTCAGAAAAACTGGGTTCAAAGCCCAACTTCTACACTGACTAACTCCATGACTTGGGGGAAGTTACTTAAATTCCCAGCCTCAGGCTCGGCCTCAGCCTCCCCGGTGGTAAACGGCAACACCGCCTGGTCCTCTGGGCCGTGTGAGCGTGGAAGGGGCCGGCCTGCTGCTCGCCCCACAGTCACGCTGCCCAAGCATTTCCATTTCCTCTTTCCCGCCGGCTCCGAGGCAGGAAAGAACAGGACACAAATAAATCTGAGAATGACTCTAGTCCATGACCCCAGACTCTGAATTTGTAGGACATCGTAATCACAAAAATCCAATATGAGAATGCCTACAGAATAATCTGAAACGAACACACCATTTGTGATTTTTCTGAGATGATAATGAATTCATGAACACTTCACTCACATTGATATTGTCTCCAGTGTTTAAAAAACAAAACAGTACCCAGGATTATATTTATAGCCATTAAAAAGAATGTCTGGAAAGGTTTCGTTATAAATAAATAAATAAACATTTGTGTTATAAATGGAAAAGAACACAATACAAAGTGTGAAAAAGATTTTCAGAGACTAAACAGCAATACCCTGGTCACTTGGTAGTGGGTTTTATCCTTATTTTCCAACTTTCCAACATTAAGGATGTACTGTTGGTAGCATCCAGAATTCAAGCACAAGAGAGAGACGCATTGACGTGCTCGAGAGAGAATGCTCTGGTCCAGCATGAAGCAGGGTAAGAGCAGCGAGGGTGGGAGGAGCCGGAGGCGGCGAGGAAGCCTCCACCCCCGTGTTGGCAGGAAGTGCTGCGCCTCTGACCTGACGGGCAGTGGGGCCCAAGAAATGGAGAGAAGGTCCAGCGTGGCCTGCACACCCCGGGACCGTGAGGCTGCCACGAGACAACAAAGCGGCCTCTACAGTATGACACAACACTGCCGCCTGGAACTTAAGGCTACTTCTGTGCTCAGCTTGCTCCACTTAAATTATCTGTGTACAACCACCCCACTGAGAACAGCAGAAGCTCTTTAAGTGCTGAACCATTCATTGCTCAGTTTGTATTCCCCCCAGCCAAAAACAAGGCTTCACACATGGTAGCTCCTCAGTATTTGCTGAATAACCAGTCATGGGGTCAGAGAGGAAAGGGACATACAACTGTAAACCTAGATGCTGCACTACAAGTTAGTTCAGGAAACAAATTCATGAGCAGAAGGGGAAACCAGTCACTTTGGCGATACTAAATGCTTTGTGAAGTGTGAGGCCTGCTAATCATCTGGCACTAGTGAGACGTTGCCCTCAGTGACCTCGGACCCCACAGTGCCACCTTCCTGCTAGCGATGTACCCACCACCGCCTAGCATTAGGTGCCACGGCCTGACGTGGAGCCAAACTGGGCGGAGGCGGCTCCTGCAGGGTCTGCAGCGCACGTGCCCAGTCCGAACTGCAGGACGGCAGAGCCAGCGGCTGCACTTACTGAAAAGAATGTGCTCGGCCAGGTTGGCGATCAGTCTCCTTCGGAGCGACTCCTCGGCTGCATTTCTGGACTCGTTAGTGGACGTGTCTGCACCTTCGTCAGCGGCGTCGCTGGGTCTGAAATGTTCTCTTAAAAATTAGACTTCTACAGTCACACTCTTTCACAGAGCAAACTATGGGGGCCTAAGGTGTAAATATATTAGACACTGTAAATTACTACAGATTCTAAATGTAAACTACAAATAAATTAGTTCAGTGGGTTCTTTTTCTTCATAATATACTCTATTATGTTCAGTAGACTCTCCTGGCCAAAACACATCATTCAGTTATAAACAGTCTATTAGCACATCAATTCTAAAAACCACCGGCTAAAAACATGCATAAAGCAAGATACCTTATTTTAAAACTTTTATGAAAATTTGACACTTGAACACATTGAAGGAAAGGTTTCATATTCAACTCCTCTAAGGTATGAATAATTTTGAACTCTGGAAAATTCACACAGAAAAACTCCGGCACTGTGCACTTACGTACGATGTGTATAATCTAGGCTACCATCAAAAAGAATTCAGGTAAAAAGCACAAGTCAAGTAAGAGCCCCTGCCTGATTCACGAAACCAAACAGGTTTATAACGCAAATAAATCAAAACCCTCCAAACTATGAAAGCACATCACTTCAATATCCTTTATAAAACCAGCAGAAAAGTTGCTCAAGCTAGAAAGTGAAAACAAGAACATGCATGTTCTTCTTAAAGTTAACCCGGAACTGAAGGAAGTCTGCTTCTGCACTCAGCTTGCTCCACTCAAATTATCTGGGTACAACCATCCTGCTGAGAACAGCAGAAGCTCTTTAAGTGCTGATATACAAAAATAATAGATACTCGAAAGTTTGGCTAATATGAAAATTTCCACAAACCTCACCTTGAAGGAAGTATAGCTGGTAACAAAGCTTGTTCCAAAGAGAGTGGGGTGGACACAGGTCTCTGACTTTGGCTTTCTAAATATTCCTGGGGAAGGAAGACATTTACTAGCATTGTCTCATTTACATAAACATATGCAAAATTATTCAATATTCAAAAAGCAAAGAGGGAGTTGTTTTATAACATCAGCCGCGCTGCAGAGCATGGGGGACACTTCTTATGACCTGAACGCCCTCCCCAAGTCCAGTATAACCACAGAATGTTGCGGAGCGCAAAGTCTAAGAACTGAAAATACAACGAACAGGATGATGCTTAAGCAAAATCATTTATACACTACAGGAGAAAAATCAACTTTTCTCACATCTTCAAAAAGTGATTGAACATTTCCAATATTATTATTAGTGATAAGTGACAAAAGCAGGCTTTTTAGAGGAAATCTGACAACCCTAGGGTCACGTAACAGTCAAAAGAACCTCAACCCCAAGGCCAATCACAGCAAGACAGAGACACTGTGCAATAGTTTTAAAAATGGTAAGAAATGCTGACATTCCTAAATTGAAAGCCCTTAAGGTCAGAAAGCATCTAGCACAGCAATTAGAATCATTTACAGTGAAACCAGGAAATGGGACGGAAGGAGAAGCAGGACCGTTACCCGGTATTGGAGGGCTTCTCTCTTTAACCAATTCACAAACCTTCGGAATTTGCACCCGCTGGGACCTCAGGGGCCCAGGGGGCCGGGGCTTCTCCATGAGGATGACCCCATCCCTCAGGTACGTGCGTCCAGATTCCACTGGTAAGTTAGAGCGCCACCCTACACTGTTGTCGGCACCCAGCTTTTCGAGGTCATGTCTCGACAAACTTCCCCCCAAAAGCAATTTTAAAACACAATATAAAATACTGGTATAGTATATAACAACATGCAAAATTCTCATGAATTAAAAAAAAATACCAATAAATGCTGAACTCAAAATCTCCCAAAGACAGGTATTTACTGTCCTTGGTTAACAGGCGTGCTTTGGCAGAAAAGTTTAGAAAAGGCCACTCTTGACACAGTCCTCCCTCTACGAGAGAAGAAGCCAAGGCGACGACAGAAGCAGGACCAGAGGCTGGACGAGAGCCCAGCCCCTCCGCCACGGAGCCACGCCGGCGCCCTGAGGCAGCTTCGCCCCAACAGACACTCACCTTCAGGGAAAACGGCTGTGCGAAATCCACTCGGACACACCCGTAGTTTTTCCGCAACATTCTGATGACGCCCCTCGCTATGCTCCACAGGCTTTCGTTCTTCTTAGGCTTCCCCTAAATTCCAATTTCAAAAGAATAACATGGTAAGAAATAAAGCTCACACATATGCAAACATTCCCGTTAGCTAAAGAATAGAGTTTTTGTTTCCTTTGTTTTCATGGAAACTCGAGGCTTGTGTTAAAAAAAAAAATGCATGAACAAAGAAAATAAATATTCATTGAGGAAGACCTGTCAGAAAATATTTAGCATTCAAAGGTCATAAAAGACATAATCATGTCACTGGGAGGGGTAATTTGGTCAATGAAAAACAAATCATTTAACACTCATTCAATACACTTTTTATATCATCCACAAAAATACTACTATGAACTAATGAAGGACAAAAATGACCTAGGTTAAAGAGTTACACTTATTCTGTAGTTCTCAGATAAAAATAAGATGTCAAAGAGGTCACTTATCTAAGGTCTGATGGTCACCAGAGTCCAAATACTTCACATCAGACAGCTGAGTGCCAAATCCAGCCCCAGAGTGACCTTTAAGCTTATTCCTTTAGTAAACATTTACTGAAGATTTAAGATACATATGGCACAGTGACAGCCATACATAATGGATGTAGGACTCAGATATGACCTCATGAGACAGTCAGGTGAGTGGAATACACATTCAGAGCAGATGCCTACAAACACGAGAAGGAATTTCACAAGAGAGAGACAGATAAGAATCCAGGCCTATCACTTAACTTTTAAAGCCTACAATTACCAAGTGTCCTTGAGCTTCTGACACACTTTGGGCAGGAGGCTTGAAACAAGCACCTTGCCCAAGACTTCCACACTAAATAAGGACAAAACTAAATTCCTCTGGACCTCTCACCACGCCGGCAGGAATGGAGGTGAGCTGGTAAAAGCACTCTGGAACACTGTTTGGCAGTATTTGCTAAAGCTGAATACACACACACTTTACGACCCAGCAATTCCACTCTTCGGGACATGCCCAACAGGAGACACACACTCGGCCATCGAGAGAAATGTACGGGAGTGATCACAGTCACAAACTAGAAACCAAACTGTTCTTCCACAGTGGAAACCATGGTACACTCATACCATAGATATACCATCCGCGTAGATGACTGTGGCATATTCATGCACTGGAACACTATGCAGCCGTGAAGATAAACAAGCTCCAGGTAAAGGCAACAGCAGGGATGAACTGCACAGACACCGGCTCGAGCAAAGAAAACCAGATGCAGAAAGACCTCGCTCTACACAATGCCCTTTCTATGGAGTTCAACAACAGGCAAAACTAGTCTGTTCCTTAAGAAGTCAAGACAAGTGATTGCCCTTGAGAGGACAGCTATGGGAGGGGCACCAGGGGGGTCCCCAGGGTCCCGATCATATTTTCTTGAGTTCAGTGCTGGTTACAGGGGTGTGTTCACTTTGTGCAAATTCAGGTGACGTGCTTATTATTTGTGCCTTCATTCTTCTAAAGCTATTATACCTACTTCAATGAAAAGTTTACAAAAACGTTACTGCCATTTCTCAATTTAATCTATAGTTCCTTCGTCACCATAGCCCCCCAGTCCTTCAGGCTTAACTTAAATCCGCACACACGCAGTAAGCCCCGAAGAAAACAAGCCACGCAGCGCCACCCCCTGCCCCACTGGAGAGGGCAACTCTGCGCCCAGCGCTCTTCCACTTCCCGGTCCCACGACGAAGGCAGCACTGGCACACCGGATCCTGTCCCCTCCCCGGGTGCAGGCAGGCACCACCGTCCGCTGACGTGGGCGATGGAGGCCACTCACGGCACCCACCCGGCCGTGCTTCCTACAGTGCTTTACGACAAGGGGGCACCAAAAACATTCCTAATTAATTTGAAAAGCAACGGACTTGAAAGCAAAGCAGATTTTGGAGAGGAAGTCCCCTTACCAGCTGTTCACCATTGTAGTGCCCTTCAATGATGCGATCGTAGGAGATTCCGACCGGTATCACCAGGATGTCTGGGATGGTGTTGGTGCACACGGTGTCCACCACCACGGACAAAAGGCCTGCCCGGGCACAGGAGGTCTTTCCACTCCTGGAGCGTGTGCCTTCCAGGAAAATCTCCAAGGACTGCTGCTGTCGAAGCAGTTCAACCACGTGCTGGGATAGCAGGAGAAAGTGAAACGTGAATTCAAGACCACCCATCTTAGGAAACGGTCTGCAGAGTTGAATCTTAAAAAAGCACGCATAATTTCACTACTGACAACATATTTTACTCCCAAAAATAATAAGATAGCTCTTCCAATGCTGTATTTTGGTAATCACAAAAAATAATCACCAAACCCATACCCAAGCAATAACCAATTAAATAATCCCTCAGACAACAGCTACTTAAAATCTCAGTCCAGCCCGTATCCTTCCGCGGTGACAACCGTCACACGGCTGTGAGCGATGGCACCTACCCCACGCAGCAGGGCTCTATAGAGAACATCCTTCCGACCGTCTGGCGTTTCATCCAGCCTCCGTCTGATGAAGAAGCCCCCAAGCTTGTGGATCAAGGTACTATAAATTCAAAGATGCATAAGTGTTTACGAAGAAATGTAAAAGGAACACTCAAATTGCAAGTCACTTCAAGACATTTGCCGAGTGAATATAAATCACGTGTGTTGTTGAAGCTGCTGACGGTGAGAATGCGGACATTTTTCCATTCCGTATTATTGACGTTTCAGTCATTTACACTATTCATCAGTCTTTAGAATGTCACTCCGAGGGCTGAGGCCCTATTGCATCCATCCCAGGCCAATGGGTGTATCAGACAAGCCTGCCTGATACTGCACCCTGCAAATTCCATGCTATAGGTTTAAGTGGATTCTGAAGTTCTGTGTGAATGGAAAACCCTGTCCAGGGTCTCGAGACACTGACTGTTAGACGCCCCCAAACGTGCCTATGGCACATTAACTACAACACGTGTGCGATGTCACAGAAGCCACTTCGGAGAAATTTTCTCAAACAAGCACTGCTCCGAGAGTGTCTCCGTGAGAGAAGGACAACTTTCTCAAACTGAAACTGAGCACCACCATCTTTCAAACCATGGAATGAGAATCTGCTTCGTGTGCCTACACTTAGGAGCAAAACAACTGTTTTTCACAGCCCCAGGTCTCTTTCTGTAACAATGATGGACTTTTGACATGAACTTGAAATGTTCTAGTACTCACGTCAACCTCTCCAAACTCAGAGACTTTATTCTTTCCAAATAGAGTGATGTTAATATAACTATAAATGCGAATATATATACATGTATATTCAAGGTCTTCTATAGTCAGCATAAAAAGGCCACAGTGAGACGTTCCTAGAGCTTAATATCACTCTTTGGGAGTAAAACTATGCAAAACAAGTTCATAATGAAGGAGGTGAACCACCCACAAAATAACCCATGCTGAAAACCGGTTTGTGAGCATGTAGGCTGGCCCATGACAAGAGAAAGGTGCCTATAAATAGGCCCCGTCATCCACAGTCCGTCACCTCCGAAGGAATGGAGGGCTAACCAGTGACTGGCAGAGAGCTGTAGGACGAGGACTGTTGAGTTACGAGAAACTACCAGGGTCTGCTAGCACTTCCAGGAGACCAGGTTGAGAGCCTGGAGAGAACGGGTATGTGAGTTATTCTCGTGACAAAAGAGGCAAACCATTACGGGGCAAGAACCCCTTCTCTAGAACCCCGACTTTGCTCTAAATCTAAGCCTACCAGCGACTTTCTGGTAACACTCTAATTCAGCTTTCTGGGTCCCTCAGTACTGGGAAGACGTGCCCGGGAGAGAAGACAGATACTACTCCCTGGGAAAGCACGTCTGCCCTGGGGGGTCACACACAGTGGATGACAGCTGGCTGCCTGGCTGTGTTCCCCATTAGGTTACCAGCCAACTGAGGGCAAGGCCTAAGATCCTGTTTGCTCTTGCCTTCAGCATGGCTGAGTATTGGCTGACCTCGTGAGTGGGAGGCTTCTTGTCAGTGGTTCACGTGGTCTGGTCAGCCGCAGAACTCTGAGCTACACAATGAGGAATCAGCTCTTTGGACTGGGAGGCTGAGGATCAGACCTCGCAGCTCGCAAAGGAAACGGGCTGCCACTCTGCAAGGCCCCACCTGTGCCCTACCTGTACAACCTGCCAGCCCACCTCCCTTCCAGTCTCTCTCTCAGTTCATCCCCTTACTCCCTACTACTACTCACAGAGCTGACTTTACTGATGCTTTATGCTTTGAAGTTTGAAGCTGCAATTTCCCTTACCAACTAAACCTACTCCTCACCAGTTTCCCGTTGGTGGTCAGCTGTACCACCTACCCAGGTCCCGGTGGTAAACACCTGGGAGTATTCCTCCCTCCTCTCCCCTTGCCCCTTTCTGTTGAGCCCTGCATCTAGACTAGCATTTGCTCCTGTAAATTCAACTTACTAAACACTTTTCCAACCAATGCCCACCTGTCCAATAACACTGCTATGCTTTTAATTTAAGCCTTCATTACCTTTTGCTTGAACTACTCCAACAGAGCCAGAATTGTTCTCACTCCTTCTAATCTGAGTTTACAAATGCAAATCTGACCATGTCACTTCTCAAGTACAGGCTACACTCTACACTCTGGGCTGAGAAACTGCTCTGATCCAGTCCTCACTATCTCTAGTCACCCGCCCGTCTCGACCCTTCCCAATGTATCCAGCATCCCAGCCCTACGGAGTCGGCTGCCACAGCCCAAACAAACCAGGCTGTTGAGTCTCTCTGCCTCTTCACATACTATTTCCTCTGAATGGAATGCACTTCGTCCTCCTGAAAACCTCTAAAACAGGCGATACACGGCTTCATAGGATACTGGAGTTGTTACAGGTTTCTAGCTCTTCTCAATTACAAGATGGACATTATCGGGGATGGTTCTTCTTAGCTATGGTTGTACCATCAGCACCACCCCACCTCTCTACTTTTACCTCCCGACTGCCAAGCCTGATGCAGTAACTTGCTATCTTGTCTTTTTAATGGCCTCTTATCGATTTGGTAAATATTACCTATAAAGTTTAAAGACTCACAGCTCACCAAGTGTCCCATATAACACACAAAATTAATGGTGAATGTCTTCTTGCTTTTTTGTATGTTTCAAATTTTTCACAATGAACATGCAATACTTTTATAATGAAAATTTAAAAACCTAACATCTTTACAATCATATGGCAAAAGGTATAATAAAAAAAAACAAACACAAGTTCAGAATATAATCTTTTCCATACACTCAACTACAAGAGAAGCTGACCTTACCTGAAGACGGGGATGTTGAGATTATTGCCAGAGGCAATGTATGGGGCTTTGATGTTGTGGCAGAAGAGAATGAAGGTGAGCAGCAAGTAGTCAATATGGGATCGATGAACCGGGAGAAATATAAGGGGCAGATTCATCTAGTGAAAGGAAGAATGCCAAATGTAAAGTTCAATTGCCCTTCACAACCTCATATTTGGTTAGTTACTCAAACACTAGCTAACCAGTGACTCAGTCTTTAAAAACATTTCCCAATAACAGGAACTCTTTCAATTTAATATTGACCTAGCTAAAAACAAAAAAAACTACAAAAAAAAGTCAGCAAAGAAGCAGAGTAACCAAGAGTTCAGGGTGAGTCTGTATCTCTGAGAGGCGGCTTAGGTTTTGGAGTCAAGCCCGGTTTGGCTTGAAATCCTGGGCAAGTCACGTGTTAGCCGCAACTTGTAAACATTTCTTAATCTAATGGAGGCTTTACTTCCTCATTTATAAAATAGGGATCGTTCTCCCTGATTTCCAGAATCGTTGCGGGGTAACTCACTACAGCAATCCCGCGTATGGCTGGGAGGTCTCCCTCACCCCGCTGCCCCTCCTCCCATACACGGCTCCAGGGTGAGTTGCAATGCACAATGGTAGACAAGAGAACATTTCCAAGAGAAGCCTAAAATCACTCTACAAGTGTAGAGAAGATGGAATGACAAATCCACGTATGTCTTGCCTCGGTTGCAGCCTTAACCATCTCAAGCTGACCCTTGTGAATCTGAATGTTCCAGAAGAAGCTGTTGAACAGTTTTAGCAACACCCATCCAGTCAGTCTGAAAGTAAAAACAAAAACAAAAGAAAAGGAAGTGTAAGAGTGTGTGTGTGTATAGTGTTTGCAAGTACGCTGTGTATGTGTGCATGTGTGTACCTGAATTGCAGAGTCAAACAGCTAACTGTACACGTGCACTACTTATGAAAGTATCCATCTGTTACGGACGAAAATCTTGCATTTCACTCTAGTAGCACACTTTGGACTGGCAAATATTTCAGTGAACAGAATGACAGGAAACCCCTCCTTTAAGACATGGGTATGTGAAAACCGGCTCACAACTAGTCTAGAGAGCAAATATCAGCAACAATATGACTGCTATCATTTAACAGAGGATAAGACCCCTTAAAGCCTCCCACAGCACCACCTGCCATGGAAGCTGAGTAAGCACATAAGGAGGAGTTGGGTTTAATGACAGAATATGTTAAAACATCTTGGTCCGAGAGCATTGTGCTGGGGAAGGAAGTCCAGTGGTTCAGTCCTGTCTGCTCAACACAGACGGCTCTTGTCGAAAACTTCTGCCTTCCCTGGTATTACCTGATCATTGCTGGTGAGACAGTGGCAACCATTTCTTTCAGGATCCTTCTAGCTTTCTTTCTCACTTTATTGATGGCTTTTGATTGCTGCTGAGCCGAACCGTCAGGGTTTAATTCAGCGGCCACTTGGGCAATGGCATCTTGCACCCTGATTTGAAAATGGAAAGACCGGCAAATCAGCTGACTGTGTGCTACATCCTGTAATCAGTATTTCGTAAACTGTAGCTACAAATCACAAAATAAAATGTACCTTCTCTCTAATACACGGTAACATGAGAAAATAACCTCAAGTGAAAATTCTTTTCATTGCCTGCCTGTTAAATATTAAGGATATCATATTCCTAAAGCAATGAACCCCTGAGGACGCTGGAAGAGCAATTTAGGAATTTAATTCAAATGCACTGGGTAACAGCTCTGTGAATTTCAATCTGGTTACTTTGTGAGAGACACGAAGCTGCACTCTAGCAGAAGAGAGGAAAGGAAGATAATCCATTTAGGCTTATATTTCAGAGCCATCCAAAACCCACTGTCAGAGTAAGGTCTAATTTTACTTCCGAAGACCTAATTAGCCATTTATATTCTGACTCTTTAGAACTATATGTGAAACTCCCTAGGAGGGATGCAAAGGGGACACAAATATTTACAAGTGTTTTCTAATCAAACCAATAAGCTTTAAAAGGCAGAGCTGAAGATTAAATCAGCATGGAACAATGAGCAGTGAGGGAAAAGGGAAGACTCTGTCCAGTTTGATAAATCCTCCACGTGACGTGGGGAAGAATGCATGTACTTAAGCCTCCTCTAATCACTTCTAACATTCTAGTCTCTGGTGAAAATATCTGGTAGAATAAAACGCACTTGAAGGCTTTTACCTAGAAAACAGAACATGTGATAATCCAAGGAGTTTCAAGTAATGGTGTTTTCTCCTGCTGCTGCTGATATCAGACGACTGTACAGAAAAACCCCACACAGCCGTGCAATTCCTTCACGTGACAAGACCAACCCCACAGGACACGGATCGCCTGAGTCTATTCTTTGAGAAGCATCTATTTCAATCTGGCCAGCGATGTTTTCACAAGTAATGGACATGATTATTACATCTCCATTATCAAATATTCATTCATTCCCTCATTAAATACTTGAGTGCCTATTATGTGCTACCAGCGTTCAGGCCTTAACAGCCAACCACACAGGGCCTGCACGGCTGAGCACCTGTCGATCACCCACCTCCAGCTACCCAAATCCAGGCACGTGAGGAACACGGGCCACGCCCATGAGGCGGAAGAGGCCAGCCTTCTCCCAAAACCCACCACATCCTCACGCCTGGTCTGTAGGATGACTGGTGTCCCCTCTCCCTCCGAGTCCAGGCTGGTCTCTTTTGTTCGTAAGAAAGCTCCTGGAAGAGCTAGGGCAGCCTCTATTCTCTCCAAACTCCTCACAGTGACTTTCCACTATAAAAATTTGTGCCTAGGTACTCAATAACTGTTTGACCAAACTCACTTCTCCATTGGCTAAGAAATAGGAAATGCAGTGTCTTACACATTCATCTTACAAAAGATGTAACAGAGAACTTGGAAATCTGTGCGTGTCTGGCTCCAGCTTGCCTTTTGTATATTAGAAACCCACTGATTCGTTAACCCATAAAACCAGACTGCAGTCCCCACAGGGCACTGCCTACCCAGACCACACATGCCCTGCCTTTCCTTGGCTTCCCTTTGGAGCTTAATATTTAACTTGGAAACGCAAAGGCTTCTGCAGGCAGAGTCCCAGAGACACCGAAGCAGGGGTGTCCAACCCTGGGCAGCCGTGAATGCGGCCCAACCCACAGTCACACATTTACTTAAAATATTGTGAGGTTTGTTTTTGTGATGATATGTTGCAGTGTATTTAGTGCATGACCCAAAACAACTCTTCTTCTTCCAGTGTGGCCCCGAGACACTGAAAGGTTGAACACTCTCCACTAATGGTTAATAAAGGAAATTACTTCCTCATTCCCACCCCATCACCATCCCGCTCTCCCCTTTACAGCGGTGCCCCACCCTTACCGACTGCTGTTCAGTACGTTTTCTGTCACGTTGGTGGCAAACATGCCTTTATGGACGTCTCGCTCTTGAACAAAAAGCATGTACGAAAGACGCCTTGCAAGCCATCCTCGGTGCCTACAACGTGAGAGTCATTTAGCAGAGAAGCACTTTAGCACACTTTAAACAAGCTGCTTAAATTATACAGGGGTTTCTCTCTTGTAAAAACATGTCCTCATTTCATCTACCCCTGATACCGGGCTTCTCACATAGCAAATTATCCTTAGGAGTTCAAACAACTTCATTCCCAATTTCTTTCACGTATTCTCAGCTAAAATTTAAACTTGGAATCTATGTACTGACACTGGAATAGCATTATTTTGAAAAATAATAAACCAAATACAAAAACAAATAAAAAGACCATACTTTATTAATACCATAAAAAGAAGAGTATATTTAAATATATATGCATATATATATATATATATATATATACACACACACACACACACAGAGATATATATGCAATACATCTTATAGCTATAGCTATGTGCTACAAAAGATGATTCGGAAGTCTTTTCCTACCATCCAGGGCTAATTTCATTGTTGTTGTCATAGTAATCCTAAGGTTGTATTATAGGTTCACAAAGCCAGAAAAGTTCTTGCTCTTAAAAAAAGTAAAACACACACACACACACACACACACACACACACACATTCAACATGACTAAGGGGTAGGACACACTCCTACCAGTGACTATGTGTTATCTGGATGAGGCGGCTGGGGACAGGCCCCTCAGCATAAGAATGCTACAGACCTTCATTATGCAACGCTCTGATACCATTCACGATGATTATGTAACACCTCATTACCATTCCCGCCATAATGATATTCACACAAACAGATTTCAATTGTAAATTCAGCAATTCTGAAAAGCCCTGGAGCAAGGAAAAGTCATTTGAGGGAGAACTGTTTACGAATCCTATGCTCCATCATCCTTCCCTTCCAACATTCTCTCTTCCTTCCTCCTCTCCTTTCTCTCCACTCTCTGAACACTTGGCCCAGCATGTTCAGTGCTTCATTCTAACCTCTTTCTTCAGTGAAAAGTTTCAGAATTATGACTAAAATGTACAAAGTGCAAACTCTCCATGAAATCCCTTTGCAACTGACTGAAAGCTGTGTGTAAGTGTCAAAACGTTCAGGCTTTGCTTCATGTAACACAGAAGAGCTGAACAGCCAACTCGACTGGACAGGCAGCTTGTTACTCTGAATAATTTCACTTTGTCTTCTCAGTACAGCTTTTGTTTCTTGACTGCCTCCAACTGAGGGCAGTAAATGGACCCTTTGCCTTTATATATTAAATGTGAACTCACACAAAGAGGAGACCCTGCCGGATCTCTTTTCTCAGGGTCTTAATCGTGTGAACCATGGGAAAGGAAAAAATATCAATGAACCAAAGTTTCTCCTGTCACCTTTAAACTTAAGAGAGGGGGAGAAGGGAGGGAGGGAGGAAGGAAGAGGACAGGGGAGCATAAAAATGGGAAAAATACGCCCCATGACTTCAGCTGTATTTAAAAAAAAAGTCTTAACTGATACACGTGTGCATATTGTCACGCTCATGTGACCTTGTCATCAAAATACAGGCCGTCACATCAGAAAGACTAACATGAAAGCACTTCGTTTCTTGGACCCGTTTTTCAAGAATTCAAAAGTATTTCTCATCACCTGAGCTCACTGCTTACCGATGCCAGGCACTGACTTACTTACTCACTCTTTGAATGAGAAGAACTGGTAGCAGTTTTGGCTGCTGTTCCTCTCTGGCCTCAGGGACATTCACACCACCTCCCCACCCTCTGTTCTTCTCTCCCAGCCTAGATTCACCTGTAACAAAGCCTCTTTTCTCCTGCTCGGGTGCCTAACAGCCCATCCCCATTTGCCTGGAATTTGGAAGTAAGAATTCTAAGAAAAGTCTTAAGCTGATAATTTATTAAAGAACATTTGCTCAGCAGAGGGCAATATTCTCTAAAACTCCACATTAGTTTTACTTTTTTTAAGTACAAAATAGTTATCCTTTATTTAAGTATAAACTACTCATGATAAAGCATAAGACATTCAAACAAACCTACACCTCTCAGACAAATCTTTATCACAATTTAGAACAGTTCAGATGCAAAACCAATACAGGAATAAGTTAGAGAAAGCTGTAAGTGATATCTATATTTTCTAGAAAATGTTTATGATATAATTACAGCAGTGGTAATAATAATAGGTCTCTCAGGTGGTTATATTGTTTCTCAATTTTAGATAAAGCCGCTTGTGTCAGAGGTGCATATTTATTAACTCTCAAAAACACGAGACTCATCTTAAAGTACATGAATTTCTATGGAGTTTTTCTTTTGAGGGGTACTAGAAGTGTAAGAAATTTCTTCATACCTTGTGTGCGTTTCATTGATATAAATAACATTCCGCAAACCCAGAGACGGGATACTGGGGTTGAAAAACTTATCCTGCAGGAGACAAAATGAACACAGATGTAGTCACACAGCTGGCGTGCAGGCGGGAGCTCACGTCACTAGTCCTCGCCAACTTTCAAAATTCAAGCCTAACGTTGGGCATTACTTCGAAAGTCAAAGTGATGAAGAAAGATTATGTTTTATCGAAAAGCACCTTTTAGCCTTTAAAGATGGTCACAAACTCAACATTAATCCTTAACATCTTATACAGGGAATAGTAGTGCCTCTCCCTTCCCTGCCCACCCCCCCACCAACCCCAGAGAATCGAAGCCGCCGAGTGCTCGAGTCATTGACACTGATACTGGAGATTTCCAAGTTGCCAAAACAGAAAAGCACTATGCTAAAAGTAACATGCACATTTAAAAAACAAAACCAATGTAGAGAAATTAGTAGTTATTTTCACATGAGTCCCCACATATCAGCTGTTCCAAACTGAAGAGGAGGATCACTACTAACTATTCGAAAACTTCCAAGTGAGTGCATACTTTGGGGCGTAAATGTGGACTTAATCTTTGATGTTCAGGGGAAGGGATTCACGGCTGGTTTCCATGATATACCAGGGAGATAGTTTGTATCTCAGCACTGACACCAGGCATTAGGCTACAATCAATACTACTACTGGCTACATGCTCTGTTGCTGAAATAAAACTGCGACTGTTCTGCAAATAAAGTTTAATGACTAACAAAAAGAAGGGACATGCAGTTATAATTAGATTATTAACCCCCCTAATAATCTTGACACACAAGAAGTATTATCCCCATCTTAGAAACAGGAAAATTGAGGCTGACATATGTTTAAGATTCAATCCTGGATCTTGCTCCACAGAGCAGGCACGGTGTTGCTATTCCTTTAAACCAAAGGTTCCACTTAATGAGATAACACGTGGTTAAAGGTCATCCTCTTTACAGGTAACCTTAAAAGATATCCAGCAGGACCTGCTGAAAAGAAAAAGTCTGGAAAGTAATGTGAACAACAGGTAAACTTGGCACGAATAAATGCTGAGATAATGTATTACCAACAAAAGATGTAAAAATACTAAGTGAAATTTTCTTAGAGAAAAGGGAAACAAGATTTCAGAGAAAGGGTAACGAATACTCAAAAGTTACAATAAAAACATGGTCAAACAAGTATTTTAAATAAACATGCCATCGAAGAATTTTAAGATCAAGTTCACCTCTTGTATTTAGGTACTATAGTACCTAAAGTTCAGGTACGATATTTAGGCAAGAATCAATGATCTGTTATATTACCCACCTATCCCTGCCCCAAACCCATCACCACCACAAATAATTCCCCATACTCTTTCCTGACTTAATAACACATTAGAGTTAACGTATTGCTTTAGTTTTTTAAGCATTTAAAATTACAATTAGATGAGATGACAGATCTAAAAAAAAGAAAAGCCACATGATCTTCTATTTAAATCTTTATTTCTATTGGCCTATTAACTTGAACTGGCCTTACTCCTAGACTAGAAATTTCCACGGTCCTTCAATGCTACCAAATTCTTAAGTTCTTGCACCAGCAAAGTACTTGTGACTTAAAAGGAACAACTTTTAGCTCTGGCCGGCTGGCTCTGCTGGTTGGAGCATTGTCCCATATATGGAAAGGTTCGATTCTTGGTCAGGGCACACACCTAGGTTGCAGGTTCAGTCTCTGGGTGGAGCAGGTACGGGAGGGAGGCAACCGATTGATTTTTTCTCTCTCCTTCTCTCTCCCTCTCTCTCCCTTTTTCTCACCTCCATCCCATTTCTTTCTCTCCCCTCTCCCACCTTCCTCTCTCTCTAAAATCAATAAACATATCCTCGGATAAGGACACAACAATAAAATAAAATAAAGGAACAATATTTATATCAACACATTCATGAGCAGACATGCATATTTAACGTAAACTGCTTGGGTCCCACAAAAATCTCTTCCAGGTTAGAAAGTCCCTGTATCCCAGACTCAGAATTCTACTTCCTGCCAAGCCAACCCTCAGTAAAACATTCACACTGCACAGTTTACCTACTCACACAAACTATGAGCAACCTCTATGAATGGCAGGTCCTCTAAGGGCAGAATTTTTATGTCATGATAACTGACCCATTTCAAAGAGAGCTTAACAACCAGGTACACCTTTTTAGAGGTAACTCTGCAGCTTTAGGACACAGCCACATTCAAGTCCACCGTCCGGTGCTCACGTGTCCCTCTGGCAAACTGCCACCAGAAGCAAACCTCTCATCTAATCAGCTCTCCTCAAATACCAATACCGGCACCCCAATGTGGAAGATTTTGCATGGCTTGAGGGTTTTTTTTCACCAAAATACAAACAACAAACCCATACACACTCTTCTAAAAGTTGTCACCTAAGCTTTCAGTGACCATTTCTCACTGTCAGGGTCAGCAGACACCTGCCCCACTCACCCCTGAAACAGAGGACTCACACTAGACAAAGCCACGCGAGCTAAAGTTCGATATCTGGAAGTTACTTGAAGGTTCCTGCAAATGTTTGGGAAGAGTTAACCCAAAGTAAGACCTGCTCTCCCCAGGACGTCATACCAAAACTGCTGAAAAACCCAATCTCGCTGAGCATCAACTACCAGACCAATATTCACTGACTGCAGGAATGAAAGACCGAGTCAACATCTTGACGTGGAATATTCGGTTTATAAATATAGCTCTAAATTCTAAAAATAGAAATTAGAAAAAAAGACTAAAAATAAATTCTAAAAGTGAATTAAGTCTGTTTGGTATTTGCCCAATACCAAATTCACACAAAGCTGGAAATCTATGTCACATATATCAAGGGTTTATTAAAGGTCATGAGCAGTAACATTCTTACCCAGCTCTGGGGAGTACAGGAATAACAACATCTCCCCACAAACGGCCTCTTCCGGCTCATTAGGCTTTCTTTCCATTTCAAGGTTGCAGATCTGAAGAGAGTAGGTCTGAAACCACATTCATCCTAAAAGATATTAAGGAAAAAGTGGTCACTAAATGGCAAGAAAATTATGCATATCCACATGATCTCCAAAACTAAGATATTCCAGCTAAAAGAGAAACTTTTGAGACATTTTCTTTGGGCGGTGGTATAATTACGTGTTTCTCAGAGTGATTTTCATTCAAGGTACTCCCTCCAGAGTCAGCTCTCCGAAGAAGAGCAAAAGCTGAGCACCTAAGAACAGCAATAGCTGGCAAAAGACACTGCACACTCAAGGCAGCATTCAAGGTTTTAACACAAAGTTGGCAAAGCTCAAACAGCCTCGCACAACAGCAAGATGAATAAAATCAGACGCCTGGATCCCTATGTTAAGAGTTCTTCTTACTCTCTCTTAAATCATACACTCCCACAAAAAGAACTATTTGCCACGGCCTTACATAGTAAGCAAATTGTTATAATACAGCTTAAACTCTTTTGCTTGAAATGAAAAACAAGATACACTTACAGAACATTCGTTTATCCTAAGAAGAAAGTGTAAAGGCTGAAACTGAAATTATAGGTGTATTGTACAATTAGGGCCAAACTCTCCTATTCTAAGCATTTTTTCCCTAACTTTGAGTTCCTCCATTGCTCAAATGCTACTGATACTACAGTCTCAAAAATAAGCAAAAAAAGAAAAAACCTATCACCATTTTTATATAAAGCAAATATTTTAAACATGCCAAGTTATGTTGAACTAGAGAAAACAACACAAGATAACATTTACCCTTTGGATTGGGTTCATGCTAAAATTTATTTCCTATTTTTAATTATTTTAAATAAACTTTATTTTCATTAAAAACTTACATTTATTAGATACAATTATGGAAAATAGACATAGAAACATTTTAAAGATATCTTTATAATGACACCATCCCAAACAAATACTAGTAGGTTTTGTCTAGGCAAAAGTATTTTGCTTTTTAATATGTCTGTAGTTAAATTTCTTACTCAGTTTTTCTTCCCAGTTATTGATACAAAGTCAGCTCCAGCATTTCCACCTTCATAAATAATATTGCAATGAACGTCTTTAGGCTGACCGCTTTTAATCCACATTTTAATCTGAAACTTACCCATTCCTCACTTGCATGCTTGCATTGGCCAACGCTGTATTCTGCTGAATTTGGCAGATAAGAAACATCTAGCGTGCCAAGGGTCAGTGCAGATTCATCCATGACATAAAGCGTGACTCCTAAATCATGTGCTGTAAAGAAAATACACGTACCATTTAAGTTAATCAGGACTCTAGAGGGTAAATACGAGAACTCGAAATTCTGACTTCCACATGATTTTGCTCCGTAAGAGGATGTCAAATGAACTACCGACAGACTTCCACCAGGTTCAGTCCAAGTGTAAAAATGGACTTTGACGTGTTTATATGAATTCAGTTAGGCAGATTTGATTTCAAAATAATCAATCTTTGTATCTTTAGATTTCCTAAAGAAAATAGCTATGAATTTGTAAGAGTAAATAATAGCTTATTTCAGGTACATGACAAAGAATTATTATTTGTGTTAATAACTGAATAATTCCTGAAGGATTGAAGGAATGGGTTTATTTAATTAAATACAAGTTATAGGTATACACATAATTAGGTAACTTTTTAAAATTCTGTGCTGGGAATTTCAATAATGCAAAAGGAGTATAGGTGATGAGGACACCTTTAAAGTTTCCCACTTAAACGGAATTAAGCTCTTCATTTTCTTGTGATGCCTTAAACGCAATATTTGCACTTTTAGTACATCTGCAAAGCCCTAAAACAAAACCACCTTTTATGAAATCTTTATTTGATGTTTTCATCCTTTTCAACAAGTCTTTTCCTACCTACAAAAAAATCTTCACTAACAATGAACAGCTAAAAAAAAAGTAGATATGAACCTAAAATATAAAAACTTCTAACATAAGCTTAGAATTATTTTTCAGATGGCTTTTGACTAATTCTCACCTGGCCTTAAATTATTCCTTTAAAACTCTGGAAGGTCAATTCCAGCTTCACAGCGTTCCTTCGAGGTCATGCCCACTCCTTCACCATCGCCACACGGGCTTGTTGCAATAACGTGTCCTAGCATAACTACCACATGTGTCCTTGACAATTGACGTAAGTTAACGATAGAACGCAACAGGCGAGAGGAAGAGGGTAGTAAGGCAATGCACGTGGCACGAAAGCTCTCCGGTTGTATAAACTAAAACTCAGCTCTCGGTTCCACGGAGTCACAGCAGCGGGAGCCCGGTGCTGCCAGAGAAAATGAAGACGCGATGGCGCCAGCAACGAGAGGAGGGGGAGAGAAAGCGTCTTGTGCCCACGGAAAGTCCACACTTCGCTCCTCCCTCCCTCTAGTGTCTATCCAAGGTCGAGAAGTTTAAAAAAAGAGGAAAAAAACCGGAGGTGCCAGACTACGGACGAAGGGGAGCCAACTGTGGGCTCTGAAACTCGCAGAGGCAGGAGGGCAACTCTGAAGTCAAACATCCCAAGTTCAAGTCCCCCCGTCTTAGTACCGGCGGGACTTCAGATACAGTGGTTAACTTCGATGCCCTGGTTTCCCCGCCTGGAAAATGTGCATAATACGATAGCTCTTACCTCCTGGGATTCTGGGAGGACTGGAAAATACCCATGCAGAGCCTCGCACCGTGTCTTAACACCCAGCGAGCGCTCAGTACGATCACGCACCGGTCGCCCGCCAGCGCCAAGTCCCAGCACCCGCCGGTCTCGGAGCATCCCTGCCGCCTCCGCGCCAGAGCCAGTGCCCCGCGTCCCGTCCGAGCGCGCAGGGCGCTGAGTCCGCAGAACCAGCCCGGCTTCTGATCCCCCGGAAAAGCACACTCCCGGCCCCGACTCCGGCACTACCCGCGACCCACTTCCCAGGGAGACCCCCGAACTCGGGGCAGAGGTCGGGGGACACAGACCGCTCCGGCAACTTGCGGGAGCCGCGCGGGCTCCGGCGCAGAGGCGACCACGCACCTGTCCCGGCGCTCCCGGCCCCAGCAGCCCCCCGCAGCCCGCCGCTGCCCTGGCCGCAGGCGCTCGCAGCCCCGCCGGCGTCAAGAGCTGCAGCTGCCGGCCCTTCGAGTCTCCACCGGTGCTCACCGCAGTGTCGCGCTCCGGTGACGCAACGGGCGCCCGGGAATGACGGGCCAGCCGCGAGTCCGCAGGCCTGGGGTGGCCCGTGGCCTTGCACGCCGTGTGTGGGTCTCGGGGGAGAGTGTGTGCACACGAGTGTGTCTCTCGGTGGCTAAGCAGGGTGTGTGCGTGCCCAAACGAGTGGTTGTTCTGCCTCGGCGCTGACTCACGTGAGCGTGTGTGTCTAAGTTTGCATTGTGCAAACTGCTCAGCTGGGAGCTTGTATATGCACCAGGCGCTGGTGGGAGTGTGCCCCGTGGATTTCTGTGTACAAGTTGATCCGCCTTGTTAAGAGCTTTGTAAGACTATGTAGAATTTATTAGGTAGGGACTGGGGATGGCCCTGTTGTGTAATTTCTGTAACAGTGGCTGAGTGCCTTTTCCTTAACGGGAAAAAAAAAAAAAGAGGAATTAAAAAAAAAAAAGTCGTGAAGGAGTCTGAATCCAAATTTGCCTACTGTCAGCCCTTCAAAGTAACGCTGGAGACAGAGGTTCTTTCACAATATTTTTCCTGCTGTAGACAAGGCCATTGCTTACCCAGGGCATCAGTAAATTAGGAAGAAAGCAATTACATCTTGCATGGACTCAAGCCGCAATCATTACCTTTGAACTAGCAGCTGAGAATACAAAGATGATTTAGAATAGTCCTTGCCCTCACATCTCTGCCACCAGTCCTGGCCTCCCTTGCACACATTAACCCTAAGCCTCTCTTCAAAACATGTCTATAGTCATGCCCACCCATCAAAAACCACCCAGAGCTTTCCAACAGCCCACGGGCCCGGGCCCGGCACAGAAGGCGTTCACAGGTAGGCTTCCACTTTTCCCACTATTCTCCCTCAGGAGCCCCTTACTTCAACCTTTCTGACTGTCCCCAGACATGACATGAACAGTCATACTACTGCGTTCACGCCAACACTTTCCCCTAAATTCTTGTTTCTTCCTGAACTAGGTCTCCAAGCCTTAATCTACTCAGCACTCACTGATGATCCTCTCCTGGGAAACCAACCTCACAGACTTACTCTGGTACCACGCCTTGGGTCTTTAGCCATTGTGTCATTCTTCCACAAGATAATGAACTCATCATCGCTGTCAGTGACTTGCCTCAGTCTCTTAGGTAAGACTGTAGTGCTTTGTAGTGTTAAGCACCCAATACACACTTGTTGGAGCTGGGGAACAAGAAGAAAAACAGGAATTCTTTCTCTTGAGCTTTCTACTTCTGGTATAAATTGATCCCAAAATGCAGGTGTGTTCCCTCTTTTAAAACAATCATGGAGATACACACACACATACACATATACATATATATCTTGACGTTTAAGACCCTGTTTTTATCAACCCCCATGCTCCTTAGCTCCAACCACACACCTAAATACTCAAGGACTCTGCTAACCAGAATCAGAGAAATTCTAATGTCAAAACATCATGAAATTTTATGTACAGATCACTGGTACCTGACCAAAAAAGGAAAAGAAAAAAAGGAGGGGGCAGGGAGAAAACAAACAAACAAAAAAAAAAGCCTCAGGTTTTGAGTCACTGCTCAAGAGAAAGTAAGGCAAACGAAGCAGAGAAAACATTACAGGAATTAAAAGGTAAGCCATGGGGGGAAATGAGATTGTTTCACGTGAAGTTCATTTGTGGGACTCATAACACCCATTGCACAAGAGTGTATTGTACTTACAGGAGTGTGGATTGCACATCTTCAGGTTACTTAACGAGAGTTGTTTTGGAAACAAGTGACACCCTTGGCAATCTTTCTTATAGACAGAACCACGATAACCTAAAGTAATCTAGTCCAGCCGGCCAGGATGGCGCAACCGGGACTGAATTTACCCTCTTGCTACAACAACTAAAACAAACTAAGCAAAATAAAGCAGGAGGCAGCATAGGACACTTGTCTACAAGGGAGTAAAAAGAATGAAGAGAAAAATAAGCAGAGTATCGGGAGCTTGATAAACACACAACTGGATTCCCTAAAGTAAAGGAGAAATATGATAGGAGAGGTCAGGAAGGACAGAAAATATTTGTAGAAACAATGGCTGAAAACTTTACAAATTTCATGAAAACTGTAAACTCACAAATCCAGGAAGCTCAACAAACTAAGTGGAATCATGAAGAAAACTATACCAAAAACATCACAATTACATTCTTTAAAACTAGTGGGAAAGTGAAAATTTTTAAGCAATCAGAGGGGCAAAAAGGCATTCCCGTGCAAAAGAACAAAGATAAAAATGACATTAGACTTCTCATCAGAAATTGGCAAACAAGAAGACAGGGGGCAGCCTCTTTAAAGTACTGGGAAAAAGTCTATAAAGATATGCTGTGACGTACAAAAGCTGAAAGAATATATACTTGTATCACCTGCAGACATTTAGTATAAGAAATGTTAAAAGAAAATCCTTCAGGTAGAAAGAAAATACAATCAAACAGAAAGCTGAGTCTACACAAAAGAATTAAGATCTCAAGAAATCACATGTAGGTAAATAAAATGTTTTCTCCTTTAATAAGATTCTATTCAAAGATAATTGCCTAATGCAAAAATAAATGGTATGTTGTACAGCTTATAACATATGTAGAAATAAAATGTATGACAAACAACCACATTCAGAAAGGGGAGAGTATTTGTTGTAGTATTCTTATACTAAGCATAAAGTGGTCCGATATACTTGAAGGTAAATTGTGATAACATGTATACTCTAACTCCTATAGCTAATACATCAATGAAGAAAGTAGAGTAGAAAAGTTAAAAGAAAGCTCTCATGAGTTTAAAAGAAGTTAGTAAATGAGAATAAAGAAGGCAAGGGTGGGGTACAGAGAAAACACAGCAAGATGTTAGATTTAAAACCAAACATATAAGTAATTACCCCCAAGTGAAAGGCAGGTTGTCTGACTTGATAAAAAAAAAAAAGCAAAAACCAATTGCTGACTATAACAAAAAAATCACTTTCAACATTAAGGCAAATAAAAGTCAAAGACTTAAAAGCAATGGACCATGCTAATGATAATCAAAAGAAATACAGGTGGTTAGTTAATATCAGACAAAGTGAATTTCAATGGAAAGAATATTCCCAGAAATAAAGACGATCATTCCATGATGATGAAGGAGTCTATCTACAGGAGGAAACCAATTCTGAACATTTACTCATCTAAAAAAAAACTCATGGACACAGATGACAGTGTGGCGATCACCAAGAGGAGGGGATGGGGGAGGGGGAGGAGGGGATGGGTGCTAAGTGGTGATGGACAGAAACTTGATTTCGGGTGGTAAACACACAATTCAGTGCGCAGGTGCTGTGTTGTAGAATTGTGCACCTGAAACTTGTATAATTTTATTAACCAGTGTTATCCTGATAAATTCAATAAAAAAGCATGCATCTAATAAGGAGCTTCCATTATGTATGAATGAAAAACTGGCAGAATTGCAAGGAGAAATAGAAAAATTAATGATTATAATCAGCAATTTTAATATACCTCTCTCAGTATCTGACAGAGCAAGTAGGCAGAAAATCAGAAAAAATGTACAAGGCTTGTGCAACACTATCAACCGTTTTGGCCTACTTGACATTGAGAACAAACACTACACCATATACTATGAGTGTTTACTGCACTCAACGGTAGGAGAGTATCTTTCTTTGCAAGTGCATTTCCAGAACATTTCCCATGACACACTGTACTGTGAGCCATAAAACAAGTCTCAGTAGATTTAGAAGAATTCAAAGCACATAAAAAAACATATCCTGACCACAATAGAAACTAGAAATCAATAACTTATGGGTATCCAGAAAAAAAAACATACATTTGGAAACAAATATGCTTCTAAAAATAACATGGTTTAAAGGAGAAATAAGAATGGAAATTAGAAATTATTTTGAACAAAATGATATTGAAAACCTAATATGTCATAAGTTGAGAGCTATAACTAAAGCAATACTTAGTGAGAAATTAATAGAAGTAAAACTCTATGAATGTAACAACAAAAAAAAAAACACACAGTAAAGCATTTAGTGTTCCCAGTCACGTTCCAAAACCTGAAAGACTCACATTGCAGAGAGGGGGGTGGGAGACTGTAAGGAAAGTGGGAAAACCTTTGGACAGTTTGGTGCATTACAAAGGCACAATGTAAATGTAAACCCTGTGAATGTACAAAATGTGGGAAAACATTCCAGCACTCTAGTAGTGGAGAGAGTAAATGAACAAATTCACATGTAATTCTGGGCAGAGTTCTGGCCTCTAGACTAACTTGAACATATGGAAGGAAACAGAGCGTTAAGGGACAGTCCCTGCCAGCGTGTCATGCCAGTGGAAGGCAGTGGAAGTGACTTTAGAGCGTGCTGTTTTGACAGTACCTTAGGCAAGAAGAAAATGGACTCTGCCTGGCTCTCTTTCACCACATTTGGGGCAGAACAAGGGCTTTGGTTTGACTGAAAACTGCCTTACCAAGTAGAGTAAGCTAGAAATTTCAGATAAGCCAAGCAGCAGGTGGTCAGACTTCTGGGGGGGGACTGTCTTGGCAAGTCGATCTGGACAGGTTACAAGACAAGGCCCAACCCCACCCGAGCCCCTGCCCCCCAACTCTGTGAAGGAAGGCCAGCAGGAACTAGGTAGGGCTCCCCAGGCCCAGCCCGTGCTGGGAGGGCTCCAGGCTCCCAGCCACCAGC